ATCAAGGTTTTAGGTTTATTATAAAAAAAGATATAAGGGAGAAAAGTATGAAAATCACGTGTTTATTTTATTTTATTTTTTTTTTGTCAAAAATAAATGTTTTTCGTTGCGCTCTGTTTTTTGTTACTCGCTACTATAGCACAACTTTACGACAACTTTTTATTAAACTAAATTTTTTCTATATTTAAAAAAATAAATAGTTTTCCCATAATTCAAATTTATAAATACTTAATTTTTAATATTATGTATTTAACAATTACTAATTGTAATATAAATAAACTTTAGTTTAAATTTAGATTGTTGCCAGGCAAAATAGATTGAAACACTTGGTACAGTATGTTGTTTTACGTAAGAGTCGTATTGTAAAACGAGTTCATTTTATTATAAATAAAATATTATATACAAATATGCAATAAACACAAGAAAAATATTGTAGATCACAGCTAGTAGTAGAACAGTTGCTCGAGTCCGTTGATGTTTGATAGGTTACTCCAAGAGAGCGAGACTTCGATAAGCACGCTATTTATATACATATTCCCAAGGGGGGCATTAATTGTTTAGTATAATCAGCCAATCCAAATAATTTACGTTTACAATAACTTGATTAAACAGTACACTTATAGTTTTATTTACTTAGCTTGTCTTTTTTTAAAGATGTAGCAAAAGAAAAACCTACTCCAACTTGGCAAACTATAAATTAAAATATATCATATGGCCAACCATAATTTAAATAAATACTACAGTTAGTGAAAATTATTAAAAATTTATCCGATCCAACTGCAAACCTGTTATAAATATTATTCATTAAGCAATAAGCATATATACACTACTAATTTTTGTATGTATGTGTGAATGGATTATAGTTTATTATTTCTATTTTATTTTTACAATTTTTTTGAATGTTCTTAAAATTACTTTTATTAACTTTAATTGTTAATTTATTAAAGAGTGAACGTTTTTAAAAGTTAGTTTAAATCTAATCTGATTTTACTGTTGTTGTTTTATTTTTTTGTATTTTGGAATTAGTTACAAATAATTTCTTTTTTTTAGTATCACAAACAGTTTAATTTAGCCATGATATTGTGAACCTTAAAGAAGTGAAAAAAACTATTCATCTTAGCATTGATACCGACATATATTAAGAAGCACAGATTAAAAATGAGTTTTACCTTAAGGAGCACAGATTAAAAATGAGTTAAATGCGTTAAACATCTAAGTTCAAAAAGACTGATTGACCAAAAGTAATATGCAAATGGTAAAATAGTTCTACAACTGACTTTATGACTGTTGATGAATATATTCAAAAAAATATAAAACAAGATGAGATAAAAAGTGAATAAGAATAAGCGAGAAATAATTACAAAAAACATGGAATTTTTTCAATAAGGTAGTGATGGTGCGATTTATGATGTGTTGGATCGTTTGTGTAGTAGTACTCTGCATTACGTGGTAATGGCATTGTTATCTAGCAAAAAGTCTCTCGCATTATTTCAACATAATTAATTTTAATTGTTTATATTTGTTGATATAATATGCCAATAGTTAAAAGCATGTCGAAAATAGACAAAACAATTTTATTCTGAATATAAGATTTACAATGTGCAACACAAAACTGATTAAACTTCGATCGACAAGTGGGCTCTTACATAAAGTTGTTGTTTCTAAGTGTATATTATTTTATTGGTTTCAAACAAAAGAGATCTTTGAAAACGGGTGAAGATATGTCATTTTTCTACATATACATCAAGCACAAAACATTAAAATCATTAACCCCGTAAATATTGAGAACTTTCATTTAAATTGAAAATAGTTCAGAATGAGGTTATCAATCCGCAAAACTAATTAAACGGATCGCATGTTCCTGACGGCGATAAAGCCAATTCAACTTGCTTTTTTCAGTGCATCCCCATGCACCATTCGCATAATTTAAATAATCATGAATTAATAAGTAATTTTTTTTTATTGTTATTTAGGTGCCCAAGGAAGACTTAACGGTCTTGTCACAGAGCACCGTGGAAGTGCTTTAACCAGGAAGTTCACGCCTCCTTCCTTACCTTAACGCGAAAATATATCCAAGGCTCGTTTTGAACCAGGATCTCCTGCTTATAAAACAAGTGCTCTAACTACTGCACCACGCCGAAATTGTTTGTGGACCATTTACAGGTAAATCTCCAGTATAATAAAGTTGAGTTAGACTTTTTTTTATATAAATATGTTCTGGTTTTATATAAAATTCCAATATTTTTAGAAATTTTTCTCTTAGTATAGTTGATATGCGTTTTCCATGTGATGTTTTCATCAAGAAAAGCATCTAAGAACTTTGTTACATTATGTCTTTTAATTTCAATATTATCATTAAAAACTTTAAGCAAACTTCGGGGTAAATAAGCTTTTTTTAAGACTGGGTGGAAAAGAACCCAATTTATTTTTTAATGTTAAGAGTTAGTTTGTTGCATTTAAACCATTTGGATATATCTTCAAGTTCATCATTCATGGTATAGAAGAGTTTATAAATGTCATTATTGGAAAAGAATAAGTTAGTACCATCAGCAAACATGTTACTTATTAAATTTGAGGCTTTGTTTAGGTCGTTTATATAAACCAAGAACAATAGTGGTACCAAAATGGAACTTTTTCGAAAGCCACATAAAATATTTAATAACTTATTTGGATGATCATTATTGCCGAAGTCCACTTTTGAATCATTTTTTAACTTTACAATTTATTTTATATTTTAGCTTCTGTAGTAAAATTTTATGATCGACAGTATCAAATGCTTTCAAAAGGTTGATGAAAACACCTAATGTATATTTAGACTTTTCAAAAAAGGTTTCACGTTCTAATCGGATAACTGCGTGTTCTGCGGAATTATTACTTTTAAAGCCGAATTGATAGTTGTATAAAAATTATTAGAATGTAGATAATTGTATAATCTACTGTACATAATACGTTCTAGTGTTTTTGAACATGTGGAGAGGACAGCGATAGGACAACAATAAATGATATTTGTTTGATCACATTCTTTTAAAATTGGAGTAACTAGCAATTTTTAGTTCTTCAGGAAAAACTCCTTGGCGTAAAGATGGCGTATAGACTTTAAATTGGATAATTTTTAAGTATTTAAAACATTCTATGACTATATTGACGTTTATGTCATCTACTCCAGTTGATTTTTTTTTTTTAAGAGTTTTGAAGATAGTTCAGAAGATAATTTGTTGGAACCAGTGCAATTGTCCACTTGTACTAAAAAATCACTAAATGTAGCATTTGTAAAAAGAATTTTGTTTGCTAATTTGGGACCTATATCTACAAAGAATTTAGTAAATTCATGAGCTATAGCTCTTGATTCGCATATATGTTTGTTATCAACTATAATTGTTTAGGGGAGAGAACTTGAGCATCATTTTTGTCTGCCACTACTTTCATTCATTGTTTGCAAGTGCGTTTTAAGTTATTTTTAAATTTATCTATGAGTCTTGAGTAGTAACTTTTTTTCAAGTTTTTATTAACTTTTTCAAATAGATATTTCTATTCGTTTTATATTTTTTCATTTGAAGATGATTTTGTTTTAAGATATTTTATATCAAGCTTCTGTTTTATTTTTGATGATTTTAAATAACCTGGTCACCCATGGGTTGGTTATACTTTTTGGATTTATTGTTTTTACAACGATAGGAAAATTAGCGTCATACACATAATAAAATTTTTCAAAAAAGTTATTGTAAATTTTGTCAGCATTATCATTAAAGTTAATGTTTCCAGTGTAGGAGAAATGGTTGGTTTTTAAATTGTTTTATATTGGTTTCGTCAAAAGTGTGTAATTTAATTTGATTTAATTTGGTTATATTTTCGGAGTTTGTTTTAAGCAACAAAAGTGTAGGAAAATGATCAGATATATCCGACTTTAGTATACCTGTTTAGATATCATTGTCGGATATATATGTTTGGATATCATGTTTGGATATCATTGTCGGATATATATGTTGTAATGATATTATCAATCAAAGACGCTGAGTTTTTTGTCACTCTCGTTGGACGATTATTCAAAGGGATCGCTCCAGTTTCGAAAAAAGACTCGTAAAAGTTTTTAATTTTATTATCTTCACTGTATAGAAAAAATTTAGGTCCCCAATAATAATGGTATAATAACGATGGAAACCAATCATGGAAATCTTTTCTTTTTCTTTGAGAATTTTTCTGTTCTTCTAATTTGTTGATAATTATTTTTTCTATGTTTTTAATCGAAATTTTCATATTTATATAACAATTAAAACACGCTGTACAAAAAACACGTTTGTTCGCTTCGATAACTAATTATAATGCTTTATTTTTTGTTTTAAACAGTCAGGGGCGGATGAAGTGATTTTTGATGTTTGATATCCAAACATTTACATGTTTAAGAATGGCACTTTATTGCACATAAGAAACTTAAATTAAATTATTGCGCGGTTTATTTTATAATAAAATGTTAAACTCAGAAACAATAACATTAAAAACAATATATTATTAGAATAAAAAATAATAAAAATAATTTCAAGTAGTCGAAAAAATTTATTTCAGGTAAGTTCTTTTTAAATGATGAATCATTTTAGGTTGTATTTTAAATAAGATATTCAAAAATGGTGGCAAAAAAAAAAAGTTTAATACAATATTTATTCGTTTTAGGTAAATTTACTATAAATTCGACTTTTCTTTTTCAATCAAACATATTTAATAAAAATTTATATTGTTGTAAAAATACATCTGTAAAAATATCACGATCGACGAGTTTAAAACTGTCTAACTATAAACACGAACTGCTATGAACACATATTACATTAGAAAATTATAACTATGCAGTAATCTAAATAAATCACTACAAGTTATTTAACATTGAAAAAAAAAATTTACTTATCGTATGATATAGCAAAATATAAATCTGTTGCCTGGTGTCCTACACACAATAGGGTTCAGGTATATATATATATGTATATATATATATATATATATATATATGCATATTTCAATACAAAATTGGATATAATTCTTAGAGATTTCATATCATACAATTATACTCTATATAAATATCAAAACGAAAAGTTCTGTATACTAATATACAAAATATTAAACAGTAATTATTCATAAAATTTGTCAAAAAGATTAAAAATAAGTTTAATAAAATTCTCTTGAGGCTTCAAGAAATACAGAAATCCGATTCGTACGTATAATCTGCCAGCTACGTGAAATCTCTCGTACATAATGAAGATGGCATACCGTAAACGTTTCTAACAACCAATTAATTTGATTTTATGTATGAGCTTAGCGAACATAATATAAAACTTTTTTGCTAAATATAAAAAGTTAAAACATTTACTAATAGCAAAAATTATCTAGCCCTTTTCAAAAGTTTTAAAGTTTTTTTTTATCATATAACTATTTTTATCATATATAGTTTTTTATTGATCATACACAAAGAGTTTAATTACGATTTCTGATCGTAATTCAATTTCTAGTTTTTTTGCTAAACTCGGTTACTTTTAATACCATTTATACTCTATTTATTTACTAAATATCCATTCAAACAATACACATTGATGTCAATAGCAACAACTTGAGGGTATATAGCCAACAGGAATAGTATTTAAGATATAAAACTGTTTTAACAAAAACGATTAACACCAGCAGATGCACACCACAAAAACAATAAGAATCTACATTGATATTAAACCAAAGTGCGCCATATTAGATCTAAAGCGGGAACTATTTAACTGACAACGTTGCTTTTGGATTCTCAAAGCACTCCAAACCGTATTTGAAAATCACTTTCAAAAGTCATTCCACAAAATAACGTGCTTATTTTTGTCGCTTGATAAAATACTAGATCCATGCGGATGCCATGCTGTTGCAATAACAGCGCTCCTTAATAAAAAACAAAAAAGTAAGAAATTGTGAAAGAAAGGGAAAAAACAAACATTATTTTCTAAATTTAATTGATTTAAATAAAAAAGCCTTGGTGACACCATGAAAAAACAAAATATCCATACTTATGTTCCTTAAGAACTTCATCGAGTTGGTTTGTGCGTGTATTCCATACATAAATATTGTTGTCATGTGACCCACAAAAAGCATATTGAGCATCCGGGCTAGCAAGTATAATATATATATATATATATATATATATATATATATATATATATATATATATATATATATATATATATATATATATATATATATATATATATATATATATATATATATATATATATATATATATATATATATATATATATATATATATATATATATATATATATATATATATATATATATATATATATATATATGTATATATGTATGTATATATATATATATATATATATATATATATATATATATATATATATATATATATATATATATATATATATATATATATATATATATATATATATATATATATATATATATATATATATATATATATATATATATATATGTATATATGTATATATGTATATAAGTATATCTATATATATATATATATATATATATATATATATATATATATATATATATATATATATATATATATATATATATATATATGTAAATATATATATATGTATATATATATATATATATATATATATATATATATATATATATATATATATATATATATATATATATATGTAAATATATATATATATATATATATATATGTATATATATATATATATATATATATATATATATATATATATATATATATATATATATATATATATATATGTAAATGTATATATATATATATATATATATATATATATATATATATATATATACATATATATATATATATATATATATATATATATATATATATATATATATATATATATATATATATATATATATATATATATATGTATATATATATATATGTAAATATAAGATTATATATATATAATCTTATATTTATGTAAAATCAATATATAGATTAAATCTAAAATCAATATATAGATTAAACATTTTCATTATAAAAATCTTAAATTTTAGCTATTTATTTTTATAATCAACTAAAAATTATTTATAATATATTAAAAAATTAAAATATAAAAATTATCAAAAATAGTTATATTTAGTTTGAAACACTTTTAAATGTGTTTAATTATATGTGCACAGCGCACAGTGCCTCACAGATACGAAAAAACGGCAAAAACCCTATTAATTTTTTAAATTTATTTTGATGTTTTTTAACTTTATCTTGATTGTTATAAGCATACTGAACAAGGTAAACCCATTTTTTATGATTTTGTAAATTCTTACTCTTTTTGTGAGCTTGTTATATGCAGGTTGTTTGTGGGCAAAAATTCACTAGAAACTTTAGAGTTTTCAAGTAGATCTTAAAATTGTCACAAAATGGTCATTTTTAAAAATTTTTCTTTCATTTTTTCGGTGAACATCATATAAAAATATTATATCATCCGGTAAGTAACTGACATTGGACTTTTATCAACACCAAAAATTAATGTTTGAATTTCACAATTTGTGAAAAAATTAAAAATTTTCAGAAAATAATATTCACAATATTTACTTTTTCTAAAAATGTCCACACTTGTCCACCCTGAATTTTGATGGGGAAGTATCTTGAATATATACAGGAATGCCCGGAAAAAAAAACCCGCCCCAAAGTAGCACGTTTTTGAGAAATTGAATTTTAAAGTTTTTTGCAATTATTAAGAAATCCGCAAAAAGTTGTTTACAAATCCAAATAATTAGTTAGTAATATGTGCCTTTGTGATTACATCTCAAAATGAAAATAATAGATTTGATTCCCAAAGTAAGAGAAATTTGTATAACTAACAAGGATATTGTGAGCCTCCATTTATGAGGAAATTTTGATATCAGAAGGTTTGGATGGTGAAAAAGTGCATAGTGAAAAATTAACAGAAAAAATCCGAATTTTGGTGATAAAATTGAAAGCTAAGTGGATTGCAGTAAACAAAACATATGACAGGCTGTTAATGAAAGAAAAGAAATGGTTGCAAACCGAAATTCAAATTGTTATGAAAGCTGACAATGTAAGCAGAAAAGAGATCAGTGGAGGGCGACCAAAGAAAGATTGGAAAGATCTAGGAGAGAGAAGTAAGCGAACAAGAGTTGTTGGATTATCTGCGCATGATCTAGAGGTTTTAGCTCTGGCTGCTGTTAAAAGTGCAAAATCATCAGGTGACTTACAAGACTTTGCTTATGTGGTTAAAGAGTCTATTCAGAAAGCATCTGAAATCAGAAAAAGTATGGACAGCAAGGAACCAATAGTGATGAGTGAGAAAGAAGCACTTTCATTAAAAGTTAATTGTGATCTCAGTGATGACCAGTATCAAATGATAAGAAACTCCTCAATCAAACACAATGCCAATATTTATCCAACATTACATGCTCTATTCAAGGAAAAAAGTAATTGTTATCCAGAGGACCTTGTTGTAACTAATACTTCTGCTGAAAGTAAATTACAGTCCATGGTGAATCATACTCTTAAAAAAGTTATTGTATTAAGTGAAGACAATTTAAAAACTCTGGATCCAGATCAAAATGTGCTCAATGATCGTTTTATTCTAAAAGCAGGGTTTGATGGTGCATCAAGCCAAAGTTTGTATAAACAAAGGTATGATAACACAGACATTGAGGAGGCTAAAAAAAATGAAGAATCCCTTTTCCAAACTGCAATTGTACCTCTTAAGTTAAGTGTAGAAAGTAAAACAATTTGGGAGAATAAGAAACCAAATAGTTCTCATTTTTGCAGACCTCTTCGTCTTCAATACAAAAAAGAAACCACAGAACTTAGCAAGTCAGAAGAAAAACACATTCGTGATCAGATGGCTGATTTGGAAGATTATGTTGAGATTATTACACTTGCGGATGGAAGAAAAGTCAGTATCAATATAAAATCTCATGTTGAACTAACCAGGTTTGATGGCAAAGTGGTTAATGCCTTAACCAACACAAAATCATCTGCAAGCTGCAATATTTGTGGTGCGAAACCATCAGAAATGAACAAGCTAGATCTAGTTAAAATTAAACCTGTGAATGATGATGCTATGTCCCTTGGTTTATCATCATTGCATTGTTGGATTAAATGTTTTGAATACATACTTCATTTAGGCTACAGACTGGAGATGACTATTCCAAGGACAGATGTCAGGTTAGCCGAAGATAAGGTACTTGTTCAAGCTAGAAAAAAAACTATTCAAGATAGGTTTAGAGCAGAACTTAGTTTACTGGTAGATGTTTCAAAAACTGGATTTGGGAATACAAATGATGGTAATACTGCCCGAAGAGCATTCATGCATGGTGAGGCTTTTGCTGACATAACAGGAGTTCAGGTTGAGTTGATTCTCCGGGTGAGGACAGTTCTTCAAGTTGTTTGTTCAAGGTATGACCTAGATATTGATAGATTTAGCCAATACTGCAATGAGACTCTAGCCTTTATAGTTAATAACTATGATTGGTACAGAATGCCTCCAACTCTTCACAAACTTCTAGTTCATGGACCTGCAATTGCTGAAAATCTAGAACTACCCATTGGTTATTATTCTGAGGAGGCTCAGGAGGCCCAAAATAAAGTAATAAGACATGCTAGGTTAAACCATTCATACAAAATTTCCAGACTAAATGTAATGAAAAATCAATTTCAATATTTGCTGATCAGAACTGATCCAGAAATTTCATCGATCAACTTCATAAAACACAAATCTTCCAATGGAAACCCCTTGTCTGAACAAGCTCTTAACTTGCTGAAACACTAAGTTTAGTTTTTTGTTTAAATCTAAACAAAAAACTAAACTTAGTGTTTTAAAACACTTTTTATTTATATTGTTACATGTTATATATGTTATATGTTACAACATACAGAAATTGTAGATATTTGTTTCTGAATAATGTAATCTTTATTGTTTTCACTGTTTACTGACAAAATCGGCTGTTATTAAAGGATTATATGTAGAGTGTTTAAAAACATTGAAAATTTGTCACTTTTTATTTAAATAAACTATATATATATTTATGAATTTGTCTCTATAAGTACAATAAAAAACGACAGAAAACCATGTTGAGAAAGTGGGAAAAAATTCAGAATTTGCAAATTTGTAAAAATATTTTGAAAAAAGTGTGCAAAATTATTTTCTGACTTTCGGGTTGGGTTGCTGATTAAATTTTAATATATTTAGAGCCAAAAAAGGTTGAAATCCAATCAGAAACACTGATTTGAGGGTTTTTGCTGTTTTTCCGTAGCTGCGAGGCACTGTGCAGCGGGCCAAACAGCTGTTTTTACAGACATTGGTATAAAACTTTTGAACGGAAGGTGCAATGGGATTGATTAAAGAATTTTTGGAAAAGTTTTTATGTGTAAATTTTGAAACACTAAAAATAACCAAGTGCCTTAGCAAATTATTAGTATACAACCTGTTATATTTGCAGAAAAGTTTTTGGTTGTTTATTTTCCTCAGCAATAAAAATTTCAAAAAAGTCAAATTCAGTGAGCTTCATTGTTATTAAACTAAAGATATAATTTTTTTTGTCGATTTTTTCAAATAACTTTTTAAACAAAATGATTTAAAATTAAAATAATATAATTCAAAATATAAACGTGATAAGTAAAAAATATTATATTATAACTATATACACAACAAAGCTCTCAGTTTTGATTTTAACTCTTGTAATCCGTTTATTTTAAAACAGACTTCAATGTTGCAATATTTTTTTTATTAATGGTTGTACTAACTAGATTAAATTTAGTCAAAAAATAGTTCAATAAAAAAGAGGGCTAGGGGGTGTGTGTGGAGGTGTTGGTCAAAAACTGGTCTTAATTCTTTTTTTTAATTTTTAGATATACATTTTTTCTGAACACATCTTCCCCTCATAAAAATATGAACAAAATAATGTAAAAATACTTGAATTAATTTTTTTTAAAAATATTTTATAAAAATTTAAACTAAAGGGGTAGGATCATTTTACTTTTTTTGTTTAAAAGTGCTTAGTTGGCACAATTTAGTTAAAAAGCATCATACTCCTCTTTGTTATAGGAGTTTAAAAATATATAGGTAAACTAGGGTCAACTTAGCACTTTTTGAGATAAATTCATTTTTCTGATAAAAAATTAGTAAAACAAAACACTAAAATTTTGCTAAATTTTAGTTGTTTTATTAGGTATAACATGTAAAAATAATTTTGTGCAATAATCTATAAAGTTAACATTCACATTTCAATAAATTGCAGTCTAAGACTGTTTCTACATACAACTATCACATTAGCATTCCTTATATATTGACATTTTTTCTTATATAATGCCAAAAATGACTTTTATGTATCATTTATATTACATATAAATAATGCATAAAAGATATTACATATATTTACATATCTTTTGCAATGAATTTACGCTATTCAAACATCTATTACATATCTTTTGCAATGAATTTACGCTATTCAAACTAGTATATTTCATGAACAACTCATGCTTTTAAATTAACTTTTTTTTAATGAATCGGAAATTTATTTGGTTTTCAATAAAACTATTGAAAACTAATATTGATTTATGAGCAATGTCCACTGTTTGGCCTACTGTCATGTGTAAG